CCTTATGGTGACTACAAGATATGCAAGTCATACATTTCACTTTGGACAGAAAATGTAGTCTCCTTTTGCTTATTTATTACATTTAACGGCTATTCTACATATTACCAATCTCGTCCCCTTCTTTAGTTTTCGATGATTCAAGCAACTTCTTAATCTACACTACATTATTGGGCGTCAAGATCGTCAACCTTGTGACAAATCGCGCTGTTCGCCATCTTGGGAGTCCCGAAAATCTGAGATTTGTCCAACTAGCGCTCATTCCTCCGCATGCTAGCATCTCTAATCTGGCAGCGGCAGGGTTCGATGCTAGCTCCTCACTGGCTAATGCAGTGCCCAGCCTTGAGATGGTCGCTGCTATGGTGGCCGGAACAGCTGTCGGTGCAACTTCAGAGAGTACATCGTCAGGCAGCGGTGGCACCAGTGCCGATGGAATTTGCGAGGCGGACGAAGACCCAATGAAGACGCCGACGATTACGATCGATCCTGTTTTGGTGTGTTCGGCTTTTAAGAAGAATCGCATCTATCTATTCACAAACCGAGAACCACATGATATCAAAGCAGAGTATGTTATCTCTCTTAAATGAATTATTTCACACTAGTTTACGCCTATATCCTATATGACTTCCTTTCACTTCGTGTCTACCAAACTTGCCCCTCTTTTATCTACTCCTCTAACCTCACTTGGCTATGCGTCTTGCAGCGCATTGTCTCGCCTTGTTAAATAGAAGGCCGCGGTACTTCGCTGCAATAAGGTTTTGCGATCTCAGCAATTAGTGAAATTTGATCTTCCAGACTTTGATTTGTTAATCTAGACTTATACTTCTAAATAGTCCTTTATATTAGAGGGAAGCTGGTGCGCGTATCTACATCTTTCAGGTTATTCCACACTAAAATTTCAGGAGAAAAAGCTACTTTTCATTTTTTGAGAGTAGTCTTCCCGTGAAAGACATTGAGCTGTCTGAAGAATTTAACAAGTTCGCAAAAAATTGTTAAGCGTTATGTACTTCTATGAAGATTAAATTAGGCTTTGGACATCGAAAAATCTGTTTCAAAACTCTGAACGTAAAAAATATAGTTGTTCACTCATTTGATATATGTCTCTTATTCTTAGATTAATTGTCCAGAAAAACTGTGGTGATTATCAGCGGGCAAACAGTAGTTGTTCACTTTCTATTACATCTGAGAATGAGCAATCAAAATGTTTGGCTCTATTGATCCTTTTTAACAATCACTTGATTGAGCAACCAGTTTGATAACGTGAACATTGTAAGTTTGCCTCCTCAAATTTAGCGGATTTCTTGATTTCCTACT